TATAAAATTACCACAACCAGATAGCAGTAGCTTTATATAATTGTAGTATTTTTGGCTTTAAAATAACATGAGAATGATGCATCTGGTCATATGGATGCACCAATTTTGGTTTCTATCATCAAAACAAAGCCTTGTTTTAGGAGTTGCTATACAAGCACCATGACAGTTTTTCTGATTTTATCCTAATGAAAGCTTTTTAATGAGCACAGATTATGTTCACTTAATTTCACTGATATGTATTTCATCATGTTTTAATACCTACTGAAAGTAATTTGGCACGTTCACTGTTTTTTTCTAAAATGACTGCTGTTCTTGAAAGGGCCTGGAATTTTAATTATAAATTGGCTTTCGTTTTTCCTTCTAAATAAGGACACCACAGACAGGTTGTGCAATTTAACTCTATAAACATGTAGCATTGTGCTGGGTGCTTGAAAATTCAAGTATTAAAATTTTTAGACATGATCTGTGTTTTCAAGATGCTCATAATGAGCTCAGTGATGGACAAGAAGACATATAACTAGAAGATACTGTCATAGCTGCACTACTAGTTATATGAACAGAGGGCTATAGTAGAACAGAGGAAGGAGTGACTCAACTTTCCTGGAGGGAGAGGAAGAAGATCACAGGTGGTTTCACAAAGGAAGTGACATTTAAGATAGATCTTAAAATAAATGAGTGATTGATCAATATATCCATTCAGCAATTCAGCTACCATCCCGTTGCTCCTACAGGGTAGATGCTGGGTCAGGCACTGGTACACAGTGTGTGTTCTAGGCCCTCAAGAAGCTTATTCTCTAGGAACACTTTGCCAAGCTTCTTGAGGCAGTATTAAGCCCTTACTGTGGATCAGTGGGCGTCCAAAGAATTGGGATACAAAGATGAATAAGATGAGTGAGCTCACTGTCTAGTAGAGGAAACACACATGTAAAAACTCAAATGCTGTTTGATACCTGTTGCAATGGAGGTTGAAGAAGAGAAGGAGAAATTAATTCTGGTGTAGAGGTCAGAGAATAACTCACAGAGAAGTGGATGCTTGAGAATTTCTCTTCAGTAAACTGTAAAGACATTATAGATGTAGGGAGCAGCATGTAAAAATGCATGCAAACGCCCAGTAATCTATAGTCTTGGCCTGTGTTGTTTCCCTTTCAAGAGCCCTTGCTTAGGAATCCTGCTCTCATCCCAAGCACAGAAAAGTGAAGTCATTTCCTTCCCTTTCTGATTGCAAAATTTTCTGTTCTAATATTGGAGCATCCAACTTCTTTCATATTTCTCAAGAAAATAATCTCAACATAATTCTTATTTGCCATACCTAAAAATGCCAAATACAAATATTTTATTTTCTAATATCAGTGAAATAAATATTTTGCCTCCAACTCTAAAGAAGATTTTGTGGATAAAGGTATAACTGCAGTTATATTCTCATGTGAGTATTCTTCACAGCCCTTATCTGAAATCCTTGGGGCCAAATGTATCTCAGAATTCAGAACTGTTTTTTAGATTTTGGAAAAGTGAAATGGTGCACATACCACATTTTACCTAACACCCCCAGCAAGGTATGGGGTAGCAGCTGAAATCAAACACATTAGTCTCTCTGCAGTAAACACTTAAACACTCACTCTAAGAGGAATAAATGAAGACTATTAAGAGTCTCACATCAGTTCAGGCCAGGTTTGCTGCCAAATGAGTTATGTGAAACATTTGGTTTCAGCGCTTTTTGGATTTGAGAATTGTTAATAAGGGATTGCGGACTTGTACTGTGATTATCTTCATTTCATAGTTTTAAAAACAGATTTAGAGAGATTAATTAACTCGCCCAAGTTGCCTGGCTAGTAAGTAACGAAGCATCATGTAAACCCAACAGTTTTACTCTGAACTCTGCTAGTAACCACTGTCCTGTATGCAGCAAGCAATCACTTGACTTTTACTGAGTTGCCTAGGTTTTCGCCAGGGAGAAGGAGAGATAAAGATAACTTAGTAAAAAATAACAGGGTGTTTTGCTACTGAGACCCTTCCTTTCTCATGATACTGTGAATAGTCTCTGCTTCCTTATCCTCCCAGATTTCCTCATTGCTGACTGTCTGCGTGGACTCTGGATGTTATCCCTTTGATAGTAAAGTGTCTCTGTCCTCACAATTCTTTTTGCTTACATGTCTTTGACCCAACTGCTTACTAATTCTCTGCCCCAGGTTCCTCACTGGGAATTTTCAACCTCTGCCCATTGAGAACCCAGTGTGCTGCTTCTCTGGATTTCCTCTCCTGACTCTCTATTTCATTTCTCTTCCAGCTCAAACTCATTTATTGCCAGCTTCCTCCATCAAGAGAAGCTTGTGTTGGTCTCATTGCTAACTTCTCAATCTCTGACTATATTCTAATGCTATTCTCTTCTTCATTCCTTTTGGTGATGTGGATCCTTGGATCCCTCTATCAGAATCACAACATTAAGAAGCAGATTCCTGGACTCACCTCTGACCAATTAAATCAGGATCTCTGGGTGGGGGGCCTGGGAGTCTACATTTTTCACAAGCATGCCACATGGTTTTTAAGCATCAATAGTTCAGGATCAACAGCTCTGTGGTGTGGCAAAGCTGGTGACTGCTCTTCTATGGGATTTGCTCTCACACTTGCAGGCACAGATCTATACAACTTGCATCATAAGACCAGAGCAAACTATAAATGCCTGACTTCTCACCCTTCCAAAGCCCCCTGAGGAAACATTTCTTGGGAAGTTGAATCAATTAATAAGTGAGGTATGCATAGGAAGAGTATATTAAATATACTAATTACTTGAAAGATAACATGACTAATTTGGCCAAATCCTTGTTTCCATGGCTAAAGTCTCATTTTCTCTCCATCTTCAAACACTGAATTGTAATTGGTTTCTTCTAAATTTCTACTCTAATTTATTCTAGCCTGACCTCTGAGTGAAAGATTAAGTAGAGTAACAACTGTGCTTTCCAAACAAATCTTTCCTGTCTAAAGAAGCCAGCTACTTCTAGTGGATCTTTGTAAAAAGGGTCTATATCGTCTCTTGTTTTCCCTACAGCATGAAAACAACATAAGAAGCAGCATTTTATTCTTTAGTTAATGAGAGTATGATATGAGTTGTTTTCAAAGACACACACACACACACACCAGCAGCACTAGGAAGGAACAATTACGAAGCCACCTGTATCTTGGATCCAGAGCGCTTTGACTCGCTATCACGGATATTAACCTGAAGGGGATAGTCACCTATTGTTTTAGTCATGTCAGCCCACACCAGAGAATCCAGGAGCATAGATCTCTTACCAGCCCATCTGCTTGCTCCTCAACTTAGTGTTGAGAAATGAATTGCTAATATAATAACATAGGGAAAAATCTATTTTTTTAAACAAATGATAATGCTGAATATTACAGTTACGATTTTGACCAAGGCTAGCCTTACCAAAATAAAGTCTGAATCTAGATTCAAACTATCGGAAAATCAATTTCCACTTATGTCACTGACACGAGTGTCTCCATCATTATCCATCTTTTATTTGAATATGTAAGTTGTGAAATGAGTATGGAAGTCCTTAAAAACAAAATGGCACAGTGTAACGCAGCTACTGACATTTCAGATTGCATAGCAACCTCTCAAATTTGAGGCAATGCTTTTATAGATGGTCATAAACTATCCAAACTATCATGTCAGAAATAATTTACTTGAGATATTTACATTGAATGACTGTAAAGTTACATGTGAATTTTTTTTAGTTATGAACAACCTTAGGATATTGATAGTCATTGATAAAGGCAAGAACACTCACTGTCTAAATACTGCAGACTCAGTTTATGATAATATGATTAGTTAACTAATAATGCTGCTTAGGCACAGTCTTGCTGATTACAATATTATAAATATTAATGTCACCCAGCCTTTCTGTTTGATTGCCACTAATGGAGTCATTCATCACGATATTTTCCTGGAATCCACACTGTAAGATATTGCTTTCTCACTTTTGTTTTTCATTACTAGACTTGCAATCATACATATTATTTTTCAAGAAGCCCTTATTTTTGGCTATCTGTTAGGAGAGGAACAGTGATATTTTCCATTAAAACCAGCCAAATGTAAGTCAGTTATATGATATTTCGCTTCTTCTTTCTGAGTCCCTAACCCTGCCATCTAAGGCACAGTACCCAGGGTTTGGTTTTCCATTCTTTTTCATGTGACCTGTTTCAAGTTAAGACTCATTTGAATTATTAAATGCTTCCTTAAAGAATCTTTTTATACTTGCCTCTCTTTTTTTTAAAGTTAATTATTGATGTAGTGACAAGCTGAAAAGACTAAGAATTATCATTTCTTCCACCCCTCATTCAGGACTCAAGAAACGTCTTCTGACAATGGTTGTCTATTTAGAATAATACAAAGGAAACACAAAGGCGAAATGCTGAATGTTGTTTTAGAAAAGATTTGCTAAAATCATTGTATTATACAAAATGTAAATGTAGTATACATTTCTCTGAAAATAGCAGTTAGTGAGAAAGTTGGGACATAACCTTTTGAGCCCAGGTTTAACCACATAACAGAAGCAGTTACAAAAGATACTGATTAGATTTTAATTTTGAGAACTTCATCATATTATTCAGAGCTTCAGTGATTTGATTGTCTTGCAAATAGAAAGGTAATGTTATAATTTCCAGAGCTTGTTAAAGAATAAAGAAATTTCCAGCCTCCCACTGGAAAGAATGCCAGTCATCACCACAGCACGCAAAAATTTGGAGGCAATTTACACTACAAACTTCAATCTTTTTCTTTTATATGACCTTGTGTTTTATGGGTTTTATAAAAATGTAACTCGCAGACCTATCACATAGCTGTAATCAAGCCTCCTTCAGAATGATTCTACTGTAGAAATCACATCCAATAGGCACTGTGTTTCCTCTGCCTGTGAGATGGTGGGAGGGCAAACAGACTTGAAATAGAAAGTGACCAAGGCAGAGTTCTCAAGGACAGCACAGAAGGGGTGAGCACATACCTGCCCCATGAGTTCAGGAATCCGAGGAACTGGTTTCCCTTTCTGGTGACTCACAGTGGCTGGACTCTGCCCCTCCCAGTCTTGTAGTTCTTCAATGCTTTTCAGATAAAGCAGGGCTTTGAGGCCAGTGCAGTAGTCTTCAATCACAGTGAAATCCTGATTCTGAATAGCACTGCATACCTAGAAAATATGGAGCAACCAACCAAATGTCAAACTAAGAGCTAATCTCAAAACGGACTCACTTTTCATTTATTCAACAAAATTTATTTTTTGGGCCAGGCACTGTTCTACGCATGGCACATCAATCATTGCCTGTGGATGGGAGTGGTGGCGAGGGAGGGACTGCAAAGGGGCACAACGAAACTTTCAGGGATGATGAATATTTTCATAAACTTGATGTGGTGATGGTGACACAGGTGTGTACATATTTCAAAACTTATCAGATTGTGCACTTTAAATATGTGCAGTTTACTGTATGTCAGGTATACCTCAGTATGGTTGTTAAAAATTACATTCAATCAGCTGCATTTCCAAGGAGTCAAATTCAGCAAAACATAAGAAAGGACATTTTAACTCTCTCATTTTCCTCCATTAGAACGTACCATCTAGAGGTAGTTCTTGTGTCTGGAGGTGATCATGCTGAGGCTGGAGTGCTGTTCATCAGTTAACTCAACCATCATGACCCTTGCCTACCTCTTCAGCCTCATCTACTATTGTTCTCCTTTTTGTTCACTGTGCTCTAATAACACAGGTCTTTCCTCTTTTCCTCAAAGTTGCCACATTCTTTCTTTGCCTCAAGACCTTTTCATAAGATCTTGCTGCCTAGAATGCCTTTCCCTTCTACACATGGCTAACTACCAGTTCTTCCTCAGTCTCATGGTAAATATCACTTCTTCAAGGAGGCCTCCAGGAGCCCACCATAGGTTAAAGCCTTCTTTTACTCATACATCTTCTAATAATTATTGCATGATTATTTGATTGAAAGCTCACTCCTCAAATAGACTGAAGCTTCAGAAGAGAAGAACCCATATTTATCTCAGTCACTATATTATCCCAAGTGACTAGCACAGGGGTGTCACTTATTCTGCTGTCAATAAATATATGTTGAATGAATCGATAATTCAGAAGAGATTTTTTAACTTGAGTGGCCATATGTCAGAAAATAGAGATTAAAAAATTTGTAGCGTTATGGAAGGCTGAATCTGAGAAATTAGGATCCTTCCAATAAAACTATACTTGAGGTTGTGTGTTAGGATTTGAGTTAGAGCTTGAAGAAGGTGAGTTTAGATAAGCACTTCTAAGATGATTATTTCCAAAGATACCTCTCCAATTTTGACACCACATGTAGACTCCAGAGACTCATTTACAACTGCCAGTAGGACCTCTTCACCCAGAAGGCCCACTAAGCATTTCAGATTCAAAATTTACAATATAGCATTAACACCTCTCCTTATCTGTATTCCAAATCAATACCAAGAAGCCACCATCCAAAAAAAGCTAAGCAAAGCAAAACTCATTTCTATCCCATTTTCCCAGATGTTAATTCTTAGCATATATATCATGGTATCTGGCAATGGCAGCCAAGAAAGTAAAATCATGTCATACATGAATGAAAATAAGGAAATACCTGAAAATAGGAGAATAAATCAGATTCTATCTCAAGGTCTCTTAAAGCCTTCTGGGTCTCTGATTAAGAAACTTTATTGTAATCTTTAGGCCTACCATACTACCTGATACCTAGCTGTTGCTAAGATGGTTGAGAGAATTTATTGAAAACACACTAAGGGATTCTGGATATGGAATGAGAAGTAGACAGAGGGAGAGAAAGGGGCAAAAAATATATATACTTAGGAGTTTTCAGCAAGAAGTGGTAGTGATTTCAAGACATATATGTAAAAAAAGGCCAAGTGGGGAATTCTGGGAATGCCAGCATTGAAAAGGAAGGCTAAAAAAGATCATGAAGGACACTAAGCAAGAGAGATCCAAGACAGCATCAAGAAAGATGTCAAGTGCTGCATGAAGGCCAATAACATCAGAGCTGAAAAGTGATCACTGGATTTAGCAATCAGAAAGAAACTGATTGACATTTGCATTTATAGGGGAGAAGCTCTACAACAGGACAGAAGCCATTTTATGGTGGGTTGAGGAGTAGGTGAGGATTGAAGAACTGAAGGTATGGAGACAGACTGCTCTTATAAGAAGTTTGGCTCCAGTAAAAGAAAGAGGAGAGCTAGGGGTATAGGTAGAAGGGCTTTGTATCTTAATTTTTAAAGGATGGAAATAGCTATGTTTTAGGGGGATGTGGCCATTTCACACTTCAGAATAAGACAGAATGACTTCCATGTATTAAATTTCTGTCAAAATTGGCTGAACGATGGTGTGATAAGAATAAAAAAATGTAATCTCTAACATGATGTGAGCTCTTATTATGGGCCAGGCACTCTGTTAAACACTTTTTACTGTATTATCTCAGTTAGTCTTCAAAATAACCCTAAGAATTAGGCTTAAATTTTAGCCTTACTTTACAGATGAGGAAATTGAGTCTTAGAGAAGTTAAATGACTTGCCCCAGGCCACATGGTTAGAAAGTGGTAGAGCCAGGACTCATGACCATGCACTCTAATGTCACTATAATATAGAGATCGACAGGGGAAAAACTGTTTGTTTTAATGTAACTACAATTATCTTTTCCTTCAACTCTTCCATGAATCAAACACATGTTTTTTTTAAATGATCAAATTATCTTCAACTCAAATATAACTATTGTTTTGAAAAATCCATACTGCTAGATGAAAATTGTCAATGTCCTCCTGTTTTATTAACCTTCTTACTTGTATAATATGAGTAAGAACAACAAAGCAAAACCAAAAAGCAGAAACAAAAAACCCTTCATTTCCTATTTTGAAGTGCTGCATGTTGCCACGATGTAGGAAAGAACATCGAATAACCACTAAATACAGGCAAGAATATTTTCTATGAAGCCCATTTATGTTACATAAAAAAAATCTGTTTCTCTGGAGAAACAATTTGAGCATTAATTAGGACTGTTATAACTTTCTTAGAGTTGATTTCTTTTTCCAGAACAATTATAAAGCATATCATTATAATTTCCTCCACAGGATATACATATATTTTTTTTTTTGGTGAGGAGATCAGCCCTGTGCTAACATCTGCCAATCCTCCTCTTTTTTTGCTGAGGAAGACTGGCCCTGGGCTAACATCCGTGTCCATCTTCCTCCACTTTATATGGGACGCCGCCACAGCATGGCCTGACAAGTGGTGCATCGGTGCGCGCCCGGGGTCCGAACCGGCCAACCCTGGGCCACCGCAGCAGAGCGCACACACTTAACCGCTTGCGCCACCGGGCCGGCCCCAGGATATTTTTTTTTAACTGTAAAAGTCAACTGATGCTTTGCTCAATCCTCTTTGTTCACTGTGAGATTTTACTTTTTTGTAGTATATGCTTATGGGTATGCTTTTACTATAGCCTTAAAATAGTTCACCATATGAACATAAGAAATCAGATTTTAAAAATCACATCATGTCATATCCTTTATGAGATGTGCATGACTGTTGTAAAAACCTAGTGCTAAAAGAAATCTAGATAGTTTGCATGCTTTGTATGAGTAGTAAAGTTTAATCTCAGTCATCCTTGATTTGTCCAGAAAGAAGATACAAAAGCCGCTAATTCTCTTAATCCACAAACACGGCACCATTTGTATATGGTAGATTCAGCCAAGTGGTGTTGGAATGATCAAAACGTAGACTTTTAAGAAGTAGTATTTTAACTATGGAAGTACACAGGAGGGCCTAAGGCTAGGAAGACTCCCTCTTTCTCACCCTCTCCTAGGCTCTTTATTCTATAGCATTAGTGTTCTACATAATTGGGAGCTATAATGAGTATGGGAAGGGGACACAAAACCTGAAGAGAGAAGAGAGACTACAAGATGGTGACTGAATACGGCTGGGATGGTGTGCTATGCTGGAAACCCTAGAAGCCACCATTAGACATGGGTGCCGAAGGGGACCACTTCAGACAGATTTCATTATAAAGCAAATGCCACCCTATTTCTTTACCTCCCTAAAGTGAGTAATTTAATTTTTACTCTCTGATAAGATTAAACATTAATTTTCCTGACAGAATTTCTAGTAATAGGAATTTTGCACATTGATATTTTCTTTTAAAACTTGAATATACATTTAATTATCTGAGGATCTTACTAAAATGCAGATTGTGATTCTGTAGGTTTGGAGAGAGGCTCAACTCTTGCATTTGTGACAAGCTCCCAGGTGGTACTGGTGCTGCTGGGCCACACTTAGAATAGCAGGTTTTAAGTGCTGGTAGGGATGAATCTCATCTTAACCTGACATGCTGTCTCCAAAGTAAATTTCTTCCAGACAAATAATTTCTACTTGATTTTTGCTGGTAGATTGTAATAGTACATTTTCATGGCCCTTTACAGAAGCACTACTTATAATAAGAAGTCACGTCTGAAGAAACAAGAGTAATTTTCTGATTAAATATTAATGAGACCCAAAATAAATCTTAGGATGCAAGTGCACCATTGGAAACAGATCTTCGTCCGTGGGATCGGATGCTCAGAAGCTGGATCTGCTCAGAAAGGTGCCTTGTTCTTGCCTAACCTTTACACTCCACTGAGGTCTTTATCTGTATCTGAAAGGTAAATGGTTCCTTTTAAAACTCCAAACATGTAGCTGCTATTCCTAAATGGGTGTATTTTATATGACATCTCTTAATTGTTTGTTTAACAGCTCTGATTAGGACTCTTAATAGCTGCTAACATGTTTGCTTAGTATAATTTGTAAGTTCTTTATGGTGAAGGCTGGTTTATCTTTCTTCGCAGCAGGGCATCAGGTGCCATTATAAGGATCATTGCCACCATTAATTATTTCCATAAGTGTGAACATCCCTGTAGCGAGCTGTTTCAAATAGGGGCCCCTGGAGTCTCAGCGGGACCAGCCCCGTGCAGGGGCTGAGTAGGTGGTAGCCCCCTGTGTAGCATGATTTGAGGTGTGCCATAAAGCTCCCATGGCCACAAAATAGTCTCCTCCAGACGTCTGACACAGTGCCCTGAATTTTCACTTTAGGTGCAGGCACATTAATCGAAGTCTGTCTATGCAAAGTGACAGTACGAATACCTGGAAGGTGTCAGAGGGTTG